AAGTCCTCCTTCTTCAGGAGGCAGTGCCCCCAATAGCACAGGTGAGCTTGTAGGCCTCCATTCCTCTCCACAGCACCCCCTCCTCCATCCTCACCACTGCCTTCTGACATTCTGGGGATACTGCCTAGGCAGGGATGGGCTCGAACTTAATCCTAACCAAGTGACCTCTTCCCGAAGTCTCGGGAAGATTTGTTAGTGAAAAAAATGGATTTTCCCAAGGCATTGGGAAAAGTCTATAGGACTGAAGAGGTTATAGCAGGGTAATGTGTAACAGAAAGGGCAGGGACCGGAAGGGCATAAGAGCCTGGGAGTGCTGGCTGGGAAAGGGGTCAGGGGCTCCACTAAGCATAGGTCCTGGAGTCCAAGGCCATAGGCTGCTGGGGAATTTGTTGGACACCAGGAGCTGTTAAAGGCCTAGGACCTAAGGAAAGAGGGAAGGAGAGGAGGAGGATGGAGGGACAGTCAAATGGAGACACAAAAAATGGGGAAAAGGAGGGAAGGAAGTGACGGGAGCTGACCCTGGTATTGGGTTGCACTGTAAGCACTTGACCTTGACTTCGGGTGATGAGGGGCCTTTGGCTGGTTATGAATAGGAGCAATGTGGTATGGTTCACTCCTGAAAAGGCAGAAGGACCACAGCCAACACAGAATCCAGATGGCAGGTCTGGGAGCGGGGATTCCCACGTAGCCAACAGGTGGAGGTGGTGGTGGTGAGGGAGGACCCCGCCAGGCCTGAAGTTTATTTTGTGGGCTTGGGGTGGGAGGTGGGGAAGGAGCTAGCCGGTGGGGTAGGGCAGCAGAGGCACAGGGTGATCTGTGGGCAGGGGATAGGGACAGGAGCAGACCGAAGAGGAGGTGGGTTTTGCCCTGGGTGTGCTGCTTTCAAGACAAATGGCAATTGGGAGCTGAGGCGGAGCATGGAGCTGGGGTGATCAGCCCAAAGGTAGCAGCAGGAAGTGCAAGCATGTGGTTGAGACCCAGACTGAGGGCAGGGGCCCACATACTAATGGGGAGGTAGAAGGAGCGAGCATATTCACCCCAAGGTGCCCCAGCTGGGCCAAGGTGGGCTTGGGCTTAGGATGACCCACAGAGTGGGAGGGGTGCAGCATCATGGGGTTGACTAGAACACAGCCCCAGCATTTGGAAAATGGAAATCAGGTGACAGGGGTGCCAGAGCCTGGGAACAGTGGGTCCTGAGAGTAGAGTAGATGAGAGATGAGGAGGGAGGGTGGCAGCCACCTGAAGCACTTTGGTCTCAACAACAAATCTAGTACCTTGGGCTATGATGCCGGTGCCTGGATCCCAGATGGGGCTTGAGAACCCTCTGGTGCTATGGGCTCAGGTGGGCTCTGGAAATGCTTCTCAGGAGTATGGGGACTGGTTCCAGAGGAGCACCCTGGGGTGGGGGCTGCCCTCCCAGCCACGTGGACTTGGCTCAGATTCAAGGCAAGTTGCTGGGGAGGTGGGGGCTTAAAGACCTGGGCTGGTTAACAGAAGGTTATGCCTGGGTCATCAGCAGAATCTGAAGTAAATTTGGGTCACTTGGCCTGGTGTGGCTTGAGTTTTGAGTTGGAGAATCCTGCTGTGCAAGTCTGTGTCTGTCCCCAGGAAGTCCCCTTCCACGGACACCAAGGGCTTGGGCTGCCAGCTGTGCCTCAGAACACAAGTATAGACAACAGTGCTCTATATCCATTCTAATTGCCTCCCAGAAAAGGGTTTGACCTTGGCTGGCTATATTCTCTTGGGAAGGCTACATAATGAGGGCAAGTGAAAGTGTTGTGTATGCGCATGTGTGTGTACAAGAGTATGTGTGTATGAATGTGTGCACATTCACGAGTGAGTGTGTATGGAAGCAGCCACTGCACATGTGTATGCACATCTGTGTATGTGTACATAAGAAGTAAACAGAGAGTACAGCATGATGACTCAGTGGCTAAATCCTCATCTTGCCAGTGCCAGTTCATGCCCTGGCTGCTCCATTTCCCATTCAGCTCCTGCGTGTGGCCTGGGGAAGCAGTAGAGGACGGCCCAAAAGCCTTGGAACCCTTCATCGGTGTAGGAGACCCAGAAGAAGCTCCTGACTCCTTGGCTTCGGATCAGCTCAGGCTGGCCGTTGCAGCTATCAAGTGCAGGCACGTGGGAGGGTGCATCACAGTTGACTGTGGGGTATTCATCTATTAACAGCTGGCTTTTACAACATGAAGGGCTGAATTATTTGACAGATATGTCTGTGAGTAAAAAGGGAGTCTCACAGAGGTAATGTTTCAGGTTAACCCTTGCCATTCTCCAACCAGATTAGTTGGAGTTCCTCATGCCCACATGGAAGAGTGGCACACGACTCATGCCATCACATGAGCAAACAACCCTGGCTATGGATTTTCTGAAGCCTGAACTGCCTTGCAGTAAATACATCCAATACAGTGTTGCCTCCTTCTCTTAATTATTTATTTATAGGGATGAAATTTAAATAAAAGGATTAATGCAGAGATAATGATTTTAGAGTCTGAAATATCTGAGTGTGAGTCCAGGCCAGCTTATGCATCACTTCTAAGACTTGCTTTCTTCCTTCGAGAGATGGAGCTAGCAGTACCTGGTTCATGGGTGCATTGGGAAGGGTAAGTGGGACTTTGTTCAGTATGTTACCAGACACATGGTATACCTCAAACACACAGCAGATATCATTAAAATCATTGCTTTTTCCCTACATATGTGTGTGATGACACTTCATACTTTGTCTCAGTTACTTCTCACCATACAGTGAGGAAAACATGACTGAACCCACTTCACAGATGCTGAAACTGAGGCACTTACCACTGAGCCCTGGGCCTGGGCCGCTAACTCCAGGTTTCAAGCTGTTCCTATTGTATTCTCTAAACTACACATAGATGGATGATGCCACTTTAATAAGGGGCTAGATCAGTAGGTACCACGGCTGACTGGTCCTTAGGAAGGCAGCAGGGAGTCAGACAAAGGTATTGGGGTATCTGCTTGGGGATAGCTAAGGACCTCAGATCCCAGAAGATGTGCCTGTTAGTAGTGACAAGGCTGAACGATGTTGCTTATCACCACACTGAGACCAAGCTCGTAAGGAAATCATTCCACTGAGGGCTTCTCTCTCTCTCTCTCTTTTTTTTTTTTAAAGATCCATTTGTTTATTTATTTGAAAGGCTGAGATAGAGATTTTTATTCCATGGTTCACTCCCTAAATGCCTCCAATGGCCAGAGCTAGGCCTGGTTGAAGTCAGGAGCCAGGAACTCACTGGGGTCTCCCACATGGATGGGAGGGGCCAAAGTTCTTGAGCCATCGTTTATGCATTCACAGGCGTATTAGCAGGGAGCTGGATTGGAAGTAGAGCACCCAAGACTCAAGCAATCACTTCTGATACAGGATGCCAGCATCATAGGAAGCAGCTTACGAGGCTATGCCACAATGCTACCCCCCACCCCAGCAGTTTTATTCTAGGTCTGTATATTCTGCTGGATAGGGCCTCAAGAGTTTGGCAGTCCTTCCCATTCCTCCAACCGGTATGCAGCAACACTCTCCTAAAATAAATACACGTCTCCAGATGTAATGCAGATACCTTTTTATTACAAAAACATTGAAGAAATGCCTCCACAGAAATTCTAAACACATGTCCGATCTGACCAAGAGCCTGCCTTCCACCCACTGGGTAGACGGGTAGGCAGGCACAGCCCATCCCACACTGTGTGTGGACACATTGAAGCAACCAGCAGGCAGTTCATGTAGCACAGGTTTCCCTTTAAATAAATCTAGATACCATGGCCCAGTGTGAACAGGAAAACAGGCAAGAGACAGCCAGAGCACTGCGGCCCCATCCAGGGACCACCACCCTGACCGCTCTCCGGCTCAAGCTTGCCACAGGAGGACATGGAGAGATGGTAATTTTCAAAATCTCTAAAATAGCAAAAGGAAATCTTTGAAAAAAAAAAAAAGACAATAAGGATTGCCCATGCCAACAAACGTATTTGACAAAGCCAGGACCTCACTCAGAGATGGTTAAAAGACATGTAATTGACCTATAGTCACTTTTTAAGCCCTAGGAAAAATTCAATCGTAATCATGATCATGTCTACCAAATGTCATAGCACAGTGAAATGAGGAGGACTGACAACCCCCTGGTGGGCCTGCCAATGCAATCGGACTCGAGGAAAACAATTTGTGTGATATCCAGAGTCTTACAAATACCAATATCCTTTGACACAGTTATTCTACACATGAGAATCTATCTTCAGGAAATAACCAAAAGCCCAGGAACAAAGTTTTGTGAACCAAACAATGGATACCATTTAAATGGTCTTAGGCCAGAGAAATAGTGAAGTATTCTCCAAATGGAACATTATTTGGGAATTGACAGTTTACGAAAGCTCTTGAGATAAAAGGAATACGTTGTTGCATCATTCGGTTTTTAAAGCAAGTGTATAAATGTGTCCCTAAAGAATAATTTTGACTATAAAATGAGTAAAGAACAATGGGAAGGAAGAACATGTAACTGCTAACCTACATTCTCTCCATGTGGTGGGAGTACAGGCAACGAATGGTTTGTCTTCCTGCATTTTTTTTTCTTTCATTTTTCCATCACCAAAAAATATATGAATTAATAAGAATCATTTGAAATTGGAGAATCACTCCTGAATTTTTCTGTTTTTGTCCAGTCACATCAGCAGAGTCAGTGAATATATCCAAAACTAGCCAAGCTACAGTGCACAGAGAGGCCGAGGACGACAATAACAGAAAGTCCACAGGGAGGCGGAGAGCCACATGGGAACTGGTGAGAAGCAGACACACATGCGCAGTGCCCTAGCCACCTGCTCAGCTCCACAGGCGAGCGGGGGTGCTCCACTGGCGCCATGCCAGACCAAAGGTGCAGGTGATCCTGCTCCAGCATCATGGGATGGCACTGTGCTATGGGCTGTGTCCTGGGCAAGTCCTAGATATTTTTCTTGACACCTCCAGGTGTCAGGCAGGATCAACTGGACTTCTAGAAATCGAAGTCATCCTGGCCAAAGCCATCTGCCCTGTCTGCCACCTGGGTGTGGGCGATGCCCCTGGCAACCTCTTCACCTTGTGATTCATAGCAGGCATCCCCTGCCCCCTGCTCTGGGGTCCTGGGGCATGAAGGGCACCCTTCCTGCTCCAAAGGGGAGCTTCCTGGGCACCTTGCAGTGACTTTTGTGTCTGGGGGAGGGGTCCCCTGGGGTTTGGTGCTGCTAGTCCTTGTGTCTCCACTGCACAGCTCTGATGCTGGTCCCTTCTGATGGGCAGGAGGGCAGACGCACCCTGGGGCTGACAGGCTGGAGGATGAGCGTGGTTGGGGGTCTGGCCTTTGACTGGGGATGTCTCCTTGAGGAGCAGGGGATGATGCAGGCCTCCTGCCTTGGTCTGGGCTATTCTTTTCAAATGCCTCTGCTAGCTGGCTGGCTCCTGAGTGACCCTGGGAGCTACCTTCAGTGTCCCCTGCGCTGCCTCCTTCTGAGCCTGGCTGCCCTTCTCCTCCAGCTCCCGGGACCTTAGCAGCTGTGGCGCCACCATCAACTTGTCCTGCAGTCCAGCTACTTTCCTCCAAAGCGGCAGCCTCCAAGCTGTTCCCATCCTCAAAGCCCTCCAGCATGGGTCTTTGCTCCTCTTGCCCACCACCCAGCTCCTCCTCTTGGCCCCTGGCATCACTGTCCCCACTCTCCTGGTCACCAGCTCCCTCTGCATCTCCAGCTGGAGGCTCCTTGTCCCTGCTGAACCCCTGGCTACCCTCATCTCCATCACTCTCCTTGGCCCCAAGCTCTATGTCTGATCTCAGCTCCTGTCCTCCACTGGCTCCCTGGCCACTGTTGGACATGTCCATGGCCACACCAGGGTCCTCCTGTTTTGGGGTCACTACTTTCCTCTTAGTGGCCACTGCCTCTGCTTCCTCTTTGGGGCACCCTTCTTTCTTCTTCTGCAGAATCTGCTGCAGGTCAAACGCCTTTTTGATGGGTGCTCCAGTCTCCCTGGGGGAAGCCATGGGGGTCACTTTTTTCCGCAAACACACTTCACAGGGGCAGAACTCCTCTCCGGGTGCTGAACAGGCATCCTCCAGGCTGAGGGAGAAAAGGCCCCTGCCACAGGTCTGATCTGTGAGGGCTGAGAGGTTGCGCAGGCCATGGAGGCGGCGGCGGCGCTGCTCTGTCTGCAAGGACGTCTGGCCCCAGAGGACTTCCCGGGCCGGCCCTGACCCCTGAGCTCTCCTCCCGGCCCGGCTCTGGATCTTCCGGAGCTCTTTGTCAGTGCTGGCCTGGAGCCGCTGGCCCAGGTCCTGCTCCAGCTCAACCACCATCTGGTCCAGGAGCCCATCATCCTGCAGGTTCCAGCGAGCCCGCAGCTGGGCTGTGGCATCAGCCAAGTGGGTCAGGAAGGACATCTGCATCTTCTTCAGCAACTTGGACACCCAGGTGGGGTCAGGGTCCAGGCATGCCCTGCAAGCTGTGCACCTGTTTGCCTCTCTTCCATGCAGCTGCAGCCACGGCCTGACCTGGGCTTGCTTATGGCTCACACCCACTGCTGCTGCTGCTGTAGGTGGCTCTTCCAAGCCAGGATCTGACTTGGGGCCCCTTTGGCTGTCACTGGTTTTTGAGGGGCCCTCACTGAGAGGTTGAGGGGGTTCTGAAGGATTCTTGCTCCTATCCGAGGGGCATCGCCTTGCTTCCTCCTTGTGCTTTCTCTGGTCATCCTGGCTGCCTTCACTACCTGCAGAGCCAGCCTCTGAGGACCCCAGCCTGCTGAGGCATGTCCCCACGGGAAGTCCTTTCTCCTGGATGCCGGCATATGGCTCTTCATTTTCTGCTTCTTTTGTTTCCTCTAACTGCACCCCATCTTCTTGCACTACGTTTTCAATTTCCTGTTCCAACATGTTGCCCACCAGCTGGTCCCTACTGCCTTCCTCTGCTGCCTGCTTGCTGGTGGCATAAGCTCCAGTTTGGGAGCTAGTAGAGGCTGTGGAACACCCTGGCTGTGGCTCTTCCACATTTTTAGCATGCCCCAATGCTCTGGAACCAGGCCTGGGGGAAGAGCTTTTCGGGAGCGCCTCTGTCCTCTCAGAAACCCCAGTGCTGTCCATGGCACAGGGCACGCTGCCCTCTCCTGACCCTCCAGAGCCACTGCTGACATCCACTCCAGATGAGGACGTGGGTGTGAGGTCCTCAGTCATGGGCAAGGGCTTATGCGGAGGGAGCTCTTGGAGCTCAGGGTCCAGCAGATCCTGCCCAGAGCTGCACCTTGGCCACAGGGTCTGTGAGATGCTCAGCAGCTCCTGGTACTGGGGGGAGTCAGCGAAGCTCACCTTGTCGACAGGGGACCCCAGATCTTTGTCAAAGAAGTGGAGCCTGGCAAGACAGGCAATGAGGGCCACAGCAGAGTGGCTGAGCCTCTTGGCTACCACATCAGACAGTTCAGGGAGGCTGCTGGGCCTGCCTGGCTTGGTGCCCATCAGCACTTTCATGATCTGGGTAGAGGCAGAGACCCTGCCTGGGAGAACACATGGTGCCCTGCCCAGGGCCCCAGAAGCTCCTGCCGGAGCTCTGACCTCCACAGGGGAGTCGGATGCTGGAGCTGGGGCTGCACCTTGGCCCTGGGGAGAAGCCTGTCTTGATTCAGTGCCTATGTCACTGGGGCCCGGGAGGACTTCCTTTGCCTCCACTTTAGGTGCTACATGTTCACTGATGTTTACTTCCAGCAGCTGCTGCTGTCCACCTTGACCCTGATCATCAGCTGGGGACTCCTGGGGGCCCTCAGGGCCCTCCCTGGCCATACCGCTGGTCTCGTCCATCTCGTATTTCATGAGCACAGGCTCCTCTGGGATGTTGCCCAGCCACTCGCGGACCACAGCATCTGGTGAGGCATGGGGCAGGGCACTGGGTGTCATGCTGCCGTCATCCTCCAGCTCCTTGAGGCCTGGCCCTATTCTGGCAGCCTTCGCCTCCAGCATCCCCCTGGGCCCAGTCCCGGGGTTCAGGTTACTCCTGACCATTGTCCCTACTGCTGCTGACTCAGGGCCTGAGAGCTGTAGGGGCCCCTCCTTGTGTTTTTCCTCTGCCTGCTGGCCCTTGTCTGCCTCCCAGCCATCAGCGCTTTGGTCACCATTATTGGTATGGCTGAGGTTCCTCAGGGGCTTCTTAGCACAGGGCCGCCCCTCAGGAGGAGTGGGGTGGTACTCACTACATGCCCAGGGGGCCTCAGGGAAGTGTTCTAGCATCCCAATTGGTGAGCAGCCACAACCTTGCTGGGCTTCTGGCTCCCTGCCTTCAGGCTGGCCAGCCAACAGAACCAAGGGTGAGGAGGGCCCAGAGGCACTCATTGCCTTTCCCCACTGACTGCCAGCCCCAGACTGTGGGTAGGAATGGGGCGTGCATACAGGTGTGGGAGCTGGCAGGTGCTCTCTGTTCTCAGTGCCACCTGCTGGCTCTGTGGAGGGAGTGCTAGCAGGGCAAGGACTGCAAGCACAGTATGGGTTACTCCCAGGTGTGAGGGTGACACCACAGGCCCCTAACTGTGGGTCCTGCAAATAAGCAGAGCCTAGAGAAGGAGATTTTAGTTCCCCTGAGGCCAATTTCCCGATCATCGGTTCATGTTCTGATAGCTGTGACATGGAGACACCAGGGCTGGCCCTGACACTGTCAGGTGACCTGGGCACTTGCTGGACTGCTGGAGAGTGCAGTAGGTGATGGGTGCCCCTGTGGTGGTAGCACACATGATCGAGAGAGCAGGGTGAGGACATAGCATTGGCTGGGCTCATCTGTTGCCCCCCGCCTTGCTGAGCATCAAGTGGGGAATGCCATCTCTCCGGGTGCTGGAGGCTGTCATGATCAACAGCGAGGAGTGGTCCCATGGACCCAGACTCACTCCTGGCCTGACCATGCCAGATGTCCTGTCCAGGCTTCTCTCCCTGTAAATTCTCATTCCCCAAAGACAAGGGACTGAGGGTAGGATCACAGAGGCTGCTGCCCTGGGTACATGGCCACCGGGAAGATGGGGCCCTGGCCTGGTGCTGGCAGCCCTGGTGCAGCCCATTCCCCTCACTGTGCACCTCAGGAGACCCAGCGCTGGTGGACCAGTCAGACGCGACCTCTTCAGACCCTTGGGTCTCAGGTCTTGTGCAGCCACTCTGCGGCATTACTCCTTCAGGGTAGGGGCTGGGTCTCTCTTTGAGACCGTCATCGGCTCCTCTACTCAGGGCAGAAGAGGCCAGCTGCAGGCTGCCAGTGTTCATGTCCCCCTCTATGGTCCTAGAGCTGCTTTGGAATTCTAGCTCAGAGTTTTCTGGGCAACCAGCACTGGAGGCTGGGTTGGCGCTGTCCTGGAGGCTTCTTTGCCTCCCAGCAGTCCCTTGGCTCCAGCGGCGCCTGCAGCGGGTGTGCTGGGCCACCCCAGGCCTCCCCTCTGCAGCTGGTCCCTCCCCCTGGCAGGTGTATAAGGGGTTCCTCCAGATCTCGTAACTGGGCTCTGGCTGCTGGCTGTGGCCCAGGGCGCCGTGAAATCCTGCTTCTAGAGCTCTGGATGCCCTTGTCCCAGATGCCGAGGAGCCCCAAGGGGCACCCTGCCAAGTGCAGCTGAAGGGTTCTGCCTCCCCTAGACTGCTGTAGTCCTCCCTGCTGGCAGCTCGCCCCACCCTCTGAGACCACAGGAGTGCCTTGTCTCCAAGCAGCTGGAAGCGAACCCTCATCTCCACAGACAGGCTGCCATCCTCATTCAGGTGGACCTTCTTCTCCACGTCGTCACCAGCCACCAAGGGGCCAGGTGCAGCAGCTGGGTCCTGAGGGTGCCTGATGGGAGCAGGGCCTCTCTGGGCATGATGAAGAGAAACGTGGGGCCGGCTCTCTGACAGCAGGGAAAGTCGTTGTGCCTGGCCATTGCCCGACCCCGTCCTTGTGTGGATCACACTCTGCTTGGATTCTGGCCCCCAGCTCCCTGGCACGTAGTCAAGAGTGAGAGAAGAGAAGAAAGGATCATGAGTTTCTGGGAGCAAAAGTAACAAGTGATTGTGGGCTGCCACCACCCGTGTCTTACATTTCCAAAAAGCCCACTGCAAGGGCACAATCTGGAAGGGCTATCCACAGAGCTGCCTGTTTGTGTCTCAACAGAACCTTGCTGAATGGACTTGAATCTGGAGTTGCCAGTTGCCAGTGGAGCAGCTTCAGGCACAGCCAGTGTTCTGAACTGTAGGGGATGGTCCATCCTAGAGATTTCACAGGTTTGCTAGGTGAGACACACTCATGCTCCCCTACCCCCACACTCGCTACAGAGCTGCTGACTGCACTGGGTTCTTCCACGGAGGCAGTGTGGCAGAAGGAACAACGCAGCAGCCCACCCCCAGCCCAGGAAGCCTAATCAATAAGGGGTTGCTTACAGACCTGATGGTAAACTGTAAAATGTTTTGTGGTTATTAGTGGTGATTTATCATCCCAGCACTCATCAAGTCCTGGGGTTGATAAATGATTGCAAGCAAGGACCCAGACACACAGGATCAGAGAGCCTGACAGTCAAAAGCCTGCACCCCATGCAAAAAGACAAAGAGAAGAGGGTAGGAAGAAGGAGCCCTGAGAAACAGAGCCCAGAGTGCTTCTCTGTCTCATCTCCCAAGGGCAGAGCCAGCAGAGGCTGCGCCATGGCCCCAGAAAGCAGTGAGACCCCTGAATGGGCCAGGACCGGAGAAGACCCCAGCGGAGGCCGGTGGCCCCTGGGGCCCAGGTGCTGCTGAAGGCATAACCTCTGCTGCCTTCTTCACAGCCTTTCCCACAGGATGCCACTGTGTTTGCTATTTACCAAGGTCAGCTCAGTCGCATTCTGCCAACTGTATTTTAACTTTAATTCTCCATGCATTAAATGCACTTTTCAAAATAAGGTGCTTGGTGTTTTTAATACTAACACCTAGATGGTGGTGACATATAGGTTTTGTGAACAGTTAACTGGTTAGCTGATTCATGATCAAGTTTTGAGACCTTTTTAATCTCTGTCCAGCCTTAGACAGCCATAACTCAAAGGTTACAAAAACCACGCAGCATGGCCCATGGCCTCCACGAGGTGAGACCTACCATGGTTCTTAATAAAAGTTGGTTTAGACCCCCAGCAGCCTCAGGTTAACATCTTGCGGATGTTCCCTTTAAACACTAGACTCTGCTGTCTCATACTCTTCCACTTCTCACCACCAAATGTTTGAACCAGTTAAAACTGATGCTGATAAGACACAAGAAGAGGCCAAAGACACCCCCAAAGCAACTAGAAGGCCCAAGAAGTGGGGCCAGAGGCACATTTCCTAGGTTGTCTAGAAGGGTTATCTGCCCATCCTTGCTGAATCCCATGCAGTGTCAATGAGACTGGGTAAACCCCCTAGCCACTCACCGTTTTTGCCCCTTGAAGAAAGCCTAGGTAGTATTTCTGACCCATTTCTTGCAGCATCTTCCATCAGCGGAGGTCTGAAGGCCTCGTCTCCAGCACACACCAACACGGAGGGGCAGCGCAGCAGGCTCTGCAGAGAGTCCACCTGGGCAAGGAGAACACTGAGCCAGGAACGCACTGTACAGAGCTCCCACCCAGCAGCCCTGGGGAGGAAGAATGCAGGCTCCCCCGCCATTCCCTCATTCCTGCACTTCTCATCCAGTGAAGGGATCCACTCGCTCTCTATAACCCCTCTGTCACCAGCTGGGGGCGGAGACCCAATCACAGGCCATCTCTCTCTCTCTCTCTCTCTCTCTCTCTCTCTCTCTCTCTCTCCCTCCCTCTCTCTCTTTCCTCTCTTCTCTCTCCTTCTCTCTCCCACCCACAGCCCTCTTTCCAACAGGTGTGAGGCCTGGGACCAAGGCTCAACATGGATACCCCGGATGAAAAAGAGCAGAGCCATTAGGCTGCTTCTCTGACAGAGTCTGTATTTGCAAGTCCTCCAGGTCTCCCATGGGAACCTGACTCACTGTCCTGCCCTGGAGTGGAGAAGAGCAAGGCACCATTAGCTTCTTTTTTCTTCCAAAACTCATTAAAAAAATCAATGATCTTGGGGCCAGTGCTGTGCTGCAGTAAGTTAAGCCATCACCTGTGTCATTGCCATCCCATATGAACATTGGTTGGAGTCCTGATCCAGCTCTCTGCTAATGTACCTAGTAAAGCAGAAGGTCCCCCAAGTGCTGGGACTCCTACACCCATGTGTAAGAGCTGCAGGTTTGCCTCACTAGTAACACTCATTAGCTATGTTAGGGCATTTGTTTCCATCTTTAAGGACAAAATATATCTTTTTTCATGATCTCCAATCAGAATCATATACTCATTAGCAAGGGAACGAGAAAGAATTCTTACATCCTCTCCTGCAAAATGACCTGGACACGTATTATACATTAGATCTTTCAGTCTGGTTGTTAAGAAATTTGTGTCGAATCACTTTTTTTAGAGCTCTAGTCCATCTCAGGTACTTAGCCAGGCTTTCAGGGAAAGTCTATGTTCTTCAGGAAGGAAGACTGAATTGAGGCCTCAGAGATATCCCTGTCCTTTGGAGGAGAGAGAAGCTAAGCTTCATGGGGAAAAGGGTCTGGGCCAGGGCCCCTCGGCTGGGGGACCCTCACACTGATAGCTGTGATGTAGACCTTTATGGAGAGGGAGGAGATCATTATGTTTACAGAAACCTTGGAGATTCAGCAGTGAGTCTCTGGGAAAACGTCCTACCATCTGCTTCTCCAACTTCTTACTTTCCTCATTCCTATTCTTCCCTCCCCTCCTCCCCCAGTATACAAATAAACTGTAGGCATCTAGTCCTCCTTGTCTGCATGTGTTTCACAGTCCATGCTATTACTGGTGAAGGCACAACCACATTCATGCATTACAAGTTGGCTGTGTTCTTTGCCCACTATGTGACTACCTACAAGTTATTTAGCCCCTGTACTTCACTCTTCTGGAATACTGAAAGGGTGATAATGTTAGCTACCTCATGAGCATGTGGGGCAGATGCTAAGCCCTAGACTAAAGCTATTCTCTTTCACCTTCTTGCTTGGGTGTTTTAACAGGCTGAAAACCCACTGTCTGCAATCTCTTGCCGTTAAAGTTCACAGCATCAAACAGATTCCACCAGTTGGATGAGGCAGGAAGTATGATGGCGGAGCAGAGAGCATCTTTCTTTTGCTTTTGACTGTTGCTGCGAGCAAAGGAAGTCAGAGGTTCAAAGAAGCACATGCAGCAAGGAGGGCAAAAGCCACTCTCATTATCCCAGTACCCACTCCCCATTCACTGGCTTCACAACCATCAGCACCCTGCTACCATCACCCTTCCCATTCTGGATCACAGCAGTGCTGGGTGATACTGCATGCAGTCATTCCAATCCCACAATCCAATTTCTTGCCTGTGTTAGAGGTATCTTCCTTGACAGGTCAATTGGTGACGTTCTAGAATCTTATCCAAGAATTTAACCAGCCTAGGCTTCTCCAGTCTTTCCATCAATTTTGAAGCGTATAATTTTCCATGTAGATTTTCTTTTGGTACATGATACCAAGAGAGGACCCTGCTTCCTGTGCTGGACCATGATAGACTGTGATCCCAGAGGTGGCCACAGGGGAATCAGGGGTGGGTTTTCTGACCTGGTTAGATTTGAAGGTGGTGATAACTTGGTGACAATGGGACATCAATACCTGCAGCATAGCAACAAAGGAGGTTCTTCAATGGTTACTATTGAGAGTAAAAGCAATTCATACTAGAAGGAGAACTTTGACTCCCACTGGATGTTATGATGGACTGCTGGAGTAAGAAGTGCGGTGGTCACAGAGAGGGCTGGCTGCTTCTGACTTTGAAAGAACTGTTAAGCTAAAGATCTAAACTCCCCATCCACGATGTTCAGAGGGCTGGGGAACTTCTTTTCTCTTGTTACCAAAGCTCAGATGCAGAAATTGATTCTATTGGTTGCAAAATGCAAGGATAGGTCATGGAAAACTGAAATTAAAGTATAAATTTATCTTGTTGCCCCAAATTTTGAAATCTATGAATAGCTTTTTCATAATATGCATTCACATGAAATCTCATTTGCATGGGCTTATGCTTGCATTAACTACAAGAATTTTCTCTTTTAATTTCATTTTCCATGAACTCCTTGGAGAACCCTCATACAACTGAACTGAGGGTTATGTGCCCGATCAAGCCAGCAAGCAGGGGTGTTGAAATAGCCCTGGGCATAGTCGGAGGTGATAGGCATTGCATCAGGCCTGAGAAGCTAGAACTGGCATAGGAGTTACCTGAACAGGTGGCTTCCACTCTCAGTTCACCTGCCCTGGCTGCCCTGCCATACTATCTCATCCTTTACTCATGACATCCTGAGAAATTCCCTGGGACCCATGAACTGAAGGAGCATACTTACTTCTGTGGAGGATTCCTGGAGAGCCTCAAGTTGGCTTTGGTATCATCACAGACCCAGTTAGGGTGTGGAGGGGAAAAATTTAGGGGATTGTGTGTTTTGGTTGAATATTTTTCATGGAGGGAGAAATGGTGAGAGATTCTGAAATAATTATTGGTAGTGGCTGCCAGTTCACTCTGACAACTGAAGACTCAGAAGGGGCAGGACATGAGCACTAGTGACAAGGAAGTCTGTATGAGAATTTGTGAATGCATCTCTCACAATTGGGCCAGAGAGTGAGAACATTCATGTCTCATGTGAGTAATCACATGGACAAGGTGACTTGCTCAGAGAACGTCAGTCACCCTTCTCCTCACATGACTACAAGGCAGGTGCAGTCAGCTCATAAGCCAGAGTGCAAAAGAACCTACAAATTAGCACCATAAGCTCCACCCCATTTGTGTAAATCTGGCTCTCATCCCTGCTCAGGGCCTCACCTGTCAAGAGCAGAGACCAATGTTAAGCTCTTGATTTCTGTCATACCTTGAGGGACTTAGCACCTGCTGGGAAGCTTGATGACACTGAACCCCTCACTGAAGGGGATGGTCAGCAATTTATATTTACTGGACTAAACACTTATTTGGGGTACTGACTTTGTTTCTTGCCCATCATTCTTTTATCATTACCCACTGTGGACTACTTATTCATTGTCATAACCTACAAAGATCTCTCAAACAACTGACTTTAGAGCAAAAAGCATAAGATAAATAGGCCAACACTGTGAACTATACCACTCTAAAGCAGCTAGAACTTACAGAATATTGGGAAATGTTTCAGATGAATGCTGTGTAAGAGTCAATTTGGGCACCAGCTGAGAAGTAGCCCTTGATGATGTTGAGCCATTTTGTCTCATAAGATGTGATGTGGGCTACAAATTAACAGCTCATTCATGGTGCTGCTTCTCCTGTGACTGCAAATTCACTGGCTACAGGTACACTGGCTTCTCAGATTGTTACACCAATGACCTAGCTCCAAACATTTTGCTTTTCATTTCGACAATTTTGTTCTCTGCTAGCTAAACAGCAAATCTCTTGGGTATATAGGATCTGACTTCCTAAATCCAACTTTATCAACTTGGATGCCCGTTACATAGACATGCTCTTGAACTCAATCATTATGGGAGCTTCCAGCACAGATAGAATTACTGGCAGCTTCTAATTTGCGCTCCAGATCCCCAACCCCCCAATCCCCGCCTCCCAAGGATCTGGAAGTTCCCTAGTGGTTGAATTAAAACACTTTCTACTTAAGGCATCTAGGGTAGTTTCTGTTTCCTGCAATTAGATCTCATTAGCAGAGTTTGAGAGGACTAGATAAGAAAATGACATTGCATCCTACATAGAAACTAAAAATGTGAATGACACTTGTTTGCTGGAGTGGTTGGCTTGACTGAACGTTTCCATCCCATCCACCTTTCATAAACAGTGCAGTTAAAGACTTCCTTTTAAGGAATAACCACTCCCCCCCGCACCTCCTCCCCCTCTTCCAACACACACACAACCACCTCCATCACCTTCATTCTAAGTGTTTTGACCTGGGGTCAAAAAAGCATCTTAAAGGCACCTTCCAACCCAAATCTCCTACCTTTTTTCCACTCAAGGTATACACCTGCTTCACGGGAAAGTGAAGGAGATCCGAGGCTTTGCTGAGAAAGGCCGCCAGATTTCTGGTATTTCTGTGACTGAGAACTACTGTCTGCCGGAATCGCGGGTCCCCGTTTCTAAGCAGCGTCATCCTCCTTGGGGCTCTGGGGACCTTCCCGGAAGGTGTGGTTCCCGGCACCTCGACCTGGCCTTCAGGATCCCACGACTGAAGGGCAGAGGAGCTTCTGCCCTGCAGCCGGCTGGGAGTCTTGGGGGGCTGCTTATCCGAGCAGAGGTAGCAGCCCCCATCCTGCAGCTGCTCCAGAGCATTGAGGCCGTGCAGCCCGCGGGGCGTGGTGACTGAGCGCACTCCAAAGGCAAGAGGCACCCGCTGAGAGAGCTCATCCATCAGGGCGTTGAAGGTCTTGAAGGTGCGCTGGTGCACTGCCAGGCGCACCCCTGCAAACCGAGGGTCCCCTCGCTTGAGAAAGGTTATCTTCTTGGCAGGTGTGACCTGGGTGGCAGAAAGGGTGCGTGCCACGGAGGGCAGGAGGCATTCTCGGTGGCTTGGGCCCTGGCCATCCCTTGGGGCGCCGTTCATGGCGCAGAGGCCCAGGTAGCTGTGATGGGCAAAGGAAGAGGTGAGTCAGAGGGTCATGCCAGGCCTTGCATTTCCCCTTCTTTCCTATCCCCTGCTTTACAGAGGTGCTTCCTGCCCTCCCCCAAGTTTGCCCCACTCTGCCTTGGAGAGCCACCCAGATCTTGCTGCATGGGGTAAAAACAGAAGCCAAAGGGCTTGTTTGTTAAATTTATTTATTTTTATTTGAAAGACAGCTTTTGCAGAGAGAGGGTGAGAGAGAATACCCTTCCCTGGTTTGCTCCCCAATTGGCCAAAATAGCCAGAGTTGAGCTGATCTGAAACCAGGAGTCAGGAACTTCTTCTGGAACTCCCATGAGGGGGCAGGGGCCAAAAACTTGGGCCATCCTCTGCTGCCTTCCCATGCCATAAACAGGAAGTTGAATCAGAAGTAGAGCAACAGAGAAACAAACCAGTGACCATATGGGATGCTGGTGCCAAAGGCAGGGGATTAGCCTGCTCCACCACCACACAGGCCCCAAGGCCAAAAGTTTGCACTCACATGGATCTGAGTTCACATATAACCCCAAGGCTTCAATTTCCTACCTGCATAACTCAGGAGGTTAATAAAGGCCTTTCTATTCCAAATAGAGGCCATATGCTCAGAAAAATAAGCCAATCCCAAAAGGACAAATATTATATGTTCCCCTTGATATAAGGCAACCTTAATGCAAAATATGAGATCAATAGATTTATTGGTAAGCATGCATATACATACAGTCATCTAGACGAACTCTATGCTAGAGACTATCATATCGAGATGTGAAGATACAACTCAGCATGCATCTCTACCTTCAAATCAATGATGGACTCCCAATGAAACTGTTAAATATATCTTGACCAGAATCTGCCATTGTTCATGTTTACAACATCAAGATACACTTAAATAGCAGAATGATGGACTTACGATTATTTTTGAAGGACTATATTATGATAATAATATAAGGGAAATCAATAAAGGAGGGGCCTTGGGATGGAGGGGAGGGCAAATTCCAGACCCTATGCAACTGTATCATAAAATAAAGAAGTTTTTTTTAAAGCCTGTCTTTCAACACAGCTATAGTCCCTCTGAATGGTGGCTATAATGATTGAGTAAGTTTATGCAAATAAGGCGCTTGACCTAGTGCAAGAAGCAGTAAGCCCTTACTCCTTTCATGCCCCTTGCTGTTGTTCTTACCCTTGTCTATGAACCTTGAACTCCTTTGAATACTTTTGTGGCTTATCTGCTAAAGAGATGGATAGAGAGATGAACACAAAATACAGATTTCAGACGACTTGGGCAGCATAATCCCTCTCCGAGGGTCCCCTATAACTCCACTTGATGTCATGTTTTCTTCATTAAAGGCTGATTTCCTTTGCATAAAACAATGCTTCTCATAACCTTCTCCCAGGTCTTTGCAAGATGCACAATGGACTCCATAGCAGAATATCCCAGCCCACTACCATCATCAGGAGAGTGAGGCTTAGTCCACCTTGGTAGACTAAAAGCTGTTCACTCCATTGTTCTTTCCTTCTCCCACATCCCCGTTACCCTGGGTCCCAGCTTCCTCATAGGCATAGGAGTTCTGCCTGCTCTTGCAGTCAGCTTGTCCTGTGCACCTGCCAGACTGTGAGTACAGAACAGTTTTCAGCTGGACATGTCCTCTGCCGGAAAACCCTGCACGTGTTTTCCCAGGGTGTGCAGGGAAGTTCTGGACCTTTATCCCTCCACTTCAAGGATCTTTCCACTTGGGTCAGCTACTTCCTGGAGCCTCAGTACCTGCTGCTCTCCCATTTGGAAATTCCCCATCCCTGATTGGCCGCCTGCCTTAGAGTTTCTGCCCGCACGGTGGCTCCATCTTTCTGCACCCTGTTTTGCCTTCCCTAGTTCATAGAGCCCTCCCTAGCCCAGAGCAACATCCATTAGCATGGCAGCTCCCTTCACAGGTTCTACATCCCAGGCCTGCATCTCTTGCAGCCAACGCCCCCAAGGTTTGGTAGACAGGACTTGCCTCACCCACAGCGCCCAGCTCCATCCAGGAGGGCCCAGGATGGGGTGAAGTCCTAAGCTGAACACACATTAGTAATCCAGCCTGCAGAATGCCCTTGCTTAGCAATACAGCACAATTGAGTGTGACTTATCCACACATATGATGGTGGATCCCACTGGGACTGCATCATAGCTCTGTCACCACAGTGTCACTGACTAAAACTCAAAGAGCAAAGTCCCTACTGAATCTATATGTACGGTGCACCATCATTAAGTTAAAAAAAAAATCAACAGAACCACCATAAGTCAGGGACTATCTGAACATGGCATAAGTCAACCACCATAAGTCAGGGACTATCTGAACATAGCATAAGTCAACCACCATAAGTCAGGGACTATCTGAACATAGCACTGGTTATTAACCACGCCAGTATTTCACAATTTTATCCCAGAATGAGGCTGAATGATTATAACCAGGTGAGTCTTTCCCAGTTCACAGGGGATACAGAACTGACAGGACTCCTGTGGCTGTACATTGGACAAGCACCCTTGATCTTCCGAGCTGCGGCGATCCAGGCTCACTTGTGGGTTCTGTGGGGTCCCCTCTCTTCTTCCCCTGTCCAGGGACAGGTACACTCTTTTCTGCCAAGGACCCTTTGGGTATTTTTGACATTACTGTGCACCAAGCACAATCATCACCTTAAAAATGGGCCTGTTACAATGCGCTGCCTTTCGAACCCTGCCTGCAGTTGCCTGGGCAGGGCCAACCCAGATGATTCCATGGACCTCAAATAGCCTTTGGCTGGATGATCCCCCCTTTGTAAGAGAAAGAACTGTTCTGTCATTTTCAGAATGCTGGTGCACACAAAGGTCCTGGAGTCCACTCTCATCTCTGGCACTGGCTTCTTCAGCCTCCTTGACTTCTCTGCAAGCAGCTACTCCAATGTCCACCCTAAAGCCCAGCTTTCCATCCCACTTGCTTCTCTTCTTCACTGGCAACTGTGAGCATTCTTCTTGGGGAACACTACTGAGGAACACAGAGTGAGAAGTGCAATTATGTCCCCATATCCTGGAGTCTCCCAATATCATCATGTCCCCCAGTGTCACCACATCCTTAGCAGCATCTCTGCCTCCTCTGATGGCCTCTGGTCCCACAGCACCTCCTGTGCAGAGACAGCCTCTGTAGATCCCACAGGACAACAACCCTGAAGAGTGTTCCAGAGCAGGCTGGTCCTGGCCAGGAGCTCAGCTAAAAACCTGTGACATCTCTCTCCTGGGGAGCCCGGCTGCAAGTGGCTCTCTGCCCTGTCTGCCAGCAGTCTAGGCTTCCCAAACAGTGCCACCCTGTTCTGCCCTGGAATTCTTGAATTAAAGAGAAGATGACATGAGGGAATCCATATACCAATGCATGCACTGACTGCAGGGTGGTGCCCAAGCCTGGGGCCCTGGAAAGACTAGTTTGGAGTAGCCTGAGAAACGCGGCTGCACTGAAAGCATTCGCGCTGCAGCAGAACTGCAGTGGCCTCCCAGGTGCATGTGAGGAAGCAGCTAGGGCCCAGGAGAAGCTGAAGGAGCCAGGATAGCGCCGCCTGCCGGTGGACATGGTGAATATAAGATCCTCAGGGTGAGAGGAGGCTGGGCTCAAAACCAGTATGAGAATCACCAGGAGTGTGAGCAGCTCTTCCTTTCAGAAGAGACCACACCTTCATATCTCTCCTTCAAAACAGCCTGACTCTGCCTGGTGAGTGAGTCACTCACTCAGGCATTCAGTCATTCATGTGTCCAGCAAAGTTTGGGAGCTCCTCTTCTGCCAGGCTCTGTGTCAGGTCTTGGAAACCCAACCATCCACAGGACAGAATTCCCATCCTTAAAACCCTTCACTTTCTCATGTGACAGAGAGGCCAGCACATACACCCTTTTTGATGCTCTGTGTACAGACAGCAAACTTCCAGGGTGGGTGTGACCAAGAAATAAAAGTAAGTTGCATGGCGGGTCAGGGCAGACTTCCTGGAGGAGGTGACGTGAGGACTTCTGAGCTGAGGCTCCTTGAGGGAATGCCCACAGAAGGAAGAAGTTAGGGTGGGCATGACAAATAGACATGGCCTTGATGCCAGCTCTGCTTGCCTGACATGGGTAGTTGCCAGGATGGGAGGGGAAGGTCCGGGGTTTCCTGTATACCAGGATCGGCTACCCACAGAGTCGGGGTGGAGAGGGGTTGCTCTGGGCCAGCCCTGCAGAGAGATGTTGGAAGTTCAAACTGGATGTTTCAGTTCTACGAGCTGCCTGTCTTCTCCTTTGCTCCAGGCATTGGAGTTGAGTCCTGCCCTATGCAGCAGGAAGAGCTTAGCAGATGTGGAGTGCCAGGGGAGGGCAGCAGGGGGCTCTGTGTGTGGCTCAGAAGCTGGATCAGAGCCACCTGCCAGCAGACATCAGGGCCAACCACTCCATGACTACACACCAAACAGGTCCTTGGACACAGTGGAGATGGGCCACAAACTAGGAATTCATTTGCAAGTATCAATTCTCCCTTCATTGTTTTCTTCCTCCTGAAACCACAGGCTTTCTCTCTCAGAGGAGGAGTGGGAGAAGACATGACCTGTCTAACAAGATGAGCCAGGTGGGACACCTGCCCAGTCCAGACAGAGAGGGCGCTGTACAACCGTGGAGTTCTGCTTTGTCACTGCAGACAGGTGAGCCCATGGAGGCAAGGGGAGTGCCCCACAGGAAAGAGCAGACAAACTGCGGGGGCATGAGACCAGCAAGAGAAAAGCAAGCGGGGAGGACAACGTGGAGATCTGCGGGAGAAAGACGTAAGAGAAGAAGATGTGGTGCAGGGTGTGAGACAGGATCTGCTTCTGGGTTCTCTGCCTCTACTCCCAGCTGAGATAACACGCCCAGGTAAGTGATGCTTCCAAGCGCAGGGGGCTTGTGTGCAATCATGATTGAGCACCAGGATATAATACCTTAAGCCTGTGCCTGCAGCACCAACATCCCA